GTACTTGCCGTTAATATTTATTGTTTTTTTTTTCTTATCAGTAATTTTAATAAGTGTACATGTATTATATATTTTTTTTCTTTAGTTTTGTAATTTTGTAAGTTTAGTTTTATAATTGTATTTTTTTAGTGACCTTACTGCTGTACTTTCTGTAGTCAGTGTTGTGTCAATGAACGTATTATTACTTGTATATAATATATATTATAATATAGAGATTATTAATCATTAGGATTGCGTACAAAACATTAACTCTGACAGTACTGTGCGTGGTCAACACTGCTAACATTTAGAACGATAGGGATGCCCTATTGATCTGTATAGTTGTGGACTTTGTATTACAGTGTTTATGTATCTATAGCGTTCTGTGAGGTGACTGATACCCACAAAACATCATTCAGTTTCTCTTGTGAGTATATTCATTGATATCTATATATTTTACTAAGTCAGTATTCAGGCTTTATGTTGAATATTCTAAAAATATGTGCTTGAGAGTTTGGGATCTATGACATTTTGTTGACAGTCAAAAGAATTGTCATTTTAAGTGTTCAACTACCACCCATTGTAGTACAAAAATAATAAAAATATCCAACCATTTTCTGTTCACCATAATATGTATACCAGTAGTACATAGGTTATATAGCATCGTAGTGGCATCATGTGAAATTTGACAAGCACAAAACTATTGTTTTGGTATTTCTGCGCTTAATAATGTGCTATACACATTTGATGATGGGCAATTTTGATTAAGTAACGATATTTCCTCTGTGAAAGGTGGGCGTTTTGACAATATTGAACTGTCCAAATTCAAAATCAAATATTACAATTTTTGGAGCAGATGCTCAATCCTAGATCAGTAAATTACAGCTTTTAGCAGGTTGTTGACCACTTCTGATTAACTGCTAAAAAGGTGTTGCCTAGTGGGCAATGTTGATAATGTTGATATCTTTCTCCATTTAGTAATGTGAATATATGTCACATTGCAGTATATGTATTAGTTTTATTAGTTAAAATTAAAAAAACAGGTTGTCTAACATTAAAAGTTTTCCACATGCAGAAAGAGGGAGAATCATTACTTTCCACAGAGACAGGAAGTTTATCACAGTGCATTTTATTGTTCAATTACAGTGTCTTTGTAAAACATGCCAGCGAATTTTTTAATTTTAATTGTGTATGAATCTTGACCTTTTTGAAATGGTATTTACCATTTTGAATCTGTCTATTACAGTAATACTGGTTGGGTATATCTTCCGCTGCAATGGATTATATCTTTTCTATACTACGTGATAACCATCATTATATATCTTGGGATAAAATTATCTATTTTTATCTACCTACATTAGCTACAGCATATATTATATATAAACTATATAAATTATTACTATGGCCTTTGATATCACCACTTTCAAAGGTATGTATTATCTATTATATTATACCAGCATTTTTATTGCCTTAGTATGTTGTTCTGATTATTTTTCCCCCGTTCGTCCCCGCACATGTCCAGACGCCCCCACGGGTGCCTGCACGTTAATTAGTAGGACCGGTTTTTAATTATGCAAGGTATTTTACCAGATACCACAGTTTTCTGTTTAGAAGGAAATCAATTGAATAACACACCGTAGGGTTTAAATTTTTCTGTCATTATTATTTTGCGCTACTGAAGAACGTTGCAACTCTCAGGTAATTTGTATTCAAAAGAGATGCATGGGAAAAATAATGCTTCAAATTTCAACAAACTACACCAGAAAAATTATTGCTGTCTGCATGGGCTTGCTTGTGATCCAGGAAATGTTGTTAATTCTCACAATGCAATCAGATGTACAGTGCTAGTCATAATTTTTTTAAATTACGTTGATTGAGATTATTTTACATATATCAACCACTGCTAACAAGATACCTCACAAATTACAGGTGCAAATTTGTGCCACCACTCTGTGTATCTATATTTGCTGTATGCTGGTTCAAAGGATTGTTTTTATTTACCATGGTTGCAAGTAGAACATTTGCCATTGAATGCAAGCATGATATTGAAAAACACCAGATAATAAATAATTTTAAACATATACATATATGAGTCTATATTTAAATTTAAAAGGAAATGTGTATTAATCTTCAGTTGTACCAGCCCTAAGGATTTAGTATGATTAGTTCAAATCTCTGCAATTGCTTGAAATTTCGTGTTTTCATTAATAGCCAAGAAAATAATTTTTTGCTCTTACTGATTAGAATGATTAGTAAAACACTATATTAGTCTATTCTAATGATCCAACTATTATACATGCATGCCTCCGGACTAATACTATATGGACAAGGTTGTGACCTAACTAGACTTTTTACCATCAGAATCAACAGGTTATAAAAAGAGTTACGAATATGTTAATTATGCTGGTGATTGTTATAAATTATTAATATTCCCACACTGTTGAAATTGTGTGTCTTTCTTGTAGAATACATGATGCTGTATGCCTTACGAGAACATGATATCCCTAATTAGTCTAAATGTGTGCAAAAGATTTGTGTTTAGCGATAAAATAGGCAAATCTGCATTATTCTCTGTTTTCATGAAAATATCTTTTCCCATAGACTCCCTCAAGCCTGTGAAAGTTAATGTAAATAATAATGTAATTATTAGGTATATACTTAGCTTTATGTTCTCCCTTAGATTCCATCTGCTCCATACAATCCATTGCTAGGCAACACATTAGATTTGATGAAGAGTGAAACCATGGATTTCGCAATAAGGTAAAAATCCTGAAAGTTATTCATAAAATATGATATTTTTATATTTTGAAATGTATCGGAATATGATACTAACAGTCCTAACTTAACAACATTTGATCATTTTCAGTTTTCGTTCAGGGAAGGTCAAATGCTATAGAATTAATTATAATATTGTTTCATTTTTAGATTGAGCAAAAAATTGGGTCCTGTGACTCGATATTTCTTTTTCCTTGGAACAGAAGTTGTGTCAATCACTGGTCCAGATGAAATGAAACACGTCTTAATTAACAGTAGTAAATACTATGATAGATCTGCTGACATCAGAAAGTAAGTTTTTTCATCCATGTTTATCCAAAAACTGTCATGAGCTTCTCAAGTAATGATTTTTTAGTAACCTCATTTCACATTTTTAAGGATTTTTTTTCAATACTAGTTTGTTCTTGTTTTTAACTTTTAATGGAATGTTGTCATCTGTTCTTCTGATAGGACATTGACTCAACTGATAGGTAATGAAATGTTGTCATCTGTTCTTGTGATAGGACATTCACTCAACTGATGGGTAATGGAATGTTGTCATCTGTTCTTCTGATAGGACATTCACTCAACTGATGGGTAATGGGATGTTGTCATCTGTTCTTCTGATAGGACATTCACTCAACTGATGGGTAATGGGATGTTGTCATCTGTTCTTCTGATTGGACATTCACTCAACTGATGGGTAATGGGTTGTTGTCATCTGTTAATCTGATAGGACATTCACTCAACTGATGGGTAATGGAATGTTGTCATCTGTTCTTCTGATAGGACATTCACTCAACTGATGGGTAATGGAATGTTGTCATCTGTTCTTCTGATAGGACATTCACTCAACTGATGGGTAATGGGTTGTTGTCATCTGTTAATCTGATAGTACATTCACTCACCTGATAGGTAATGAAATGTTGTCATCTGTTCTTCTGATAGGATATTCACTCAACT